GGGGGAGGGGAAGAGGGGGGGCGGGAAAGGGTGGTGCACAGGATAAACCACGAACGCGCAAGTTATCCTGTCATTTGAATTGACAACAATTGCTTTTCAGGACAGTGTGGAGGATCTGCACACCATGCCACCATGCTAAACTGAAAAGGAAATGTTAACCCAAGTCCTTCCCTCCTCCCCCCCTCTCCCCTCTCCCCCATCTCTCCTGTCCCTATCATCTCTTCCTCGCAACGACCTATTCCCCTCCCCCCTCCCGCCTGTCCCTATCCTCTTTTCCTCTCAACCCCCTTTATCAACAGAGTTGTGCAGCCTGGCCCAAGGTCCCAACTCTTACCCCTTCCACTCAAGCAGATGGTTCATGGTGATCAAATTTTTGAGGCCTTAATAGTGATGAGTTGCCCCGATGAAGTACGCGGGCTTTCCGACTGTCTGATTTCCTACCTGCCCTTCTCAACCAACCAACCCCCCCCCCTCCCTTCCCCGGCCGCAGGAGCAGCGTCAATGTTTGAACGCTTACCCTTATGATCAATCTTTGAGGTCTTGTTATAAAACTGCGTCGCCCTGATGAGGTACACAGGCTCTCTGACTGGCTGACTTGCTACCTACCCTTCAAACAACAACACCCTGCCCCCCGTCCCATGTGAGGAGTCAAGGTCCGAACTCTTACCCTTTCCAACCCAGGTGGTTGGTTCATGATGATCAATCTTTGAGGCCTTGTTATAGTAATGAGTCGCCCTGATGAAGTACTCTTCCTTCTCCCTCTTGTTAGTCTCCAATTTCCCACAGTTTGTGTTGTATGCCGCAAGAGCATTTAGTATAGCAATCCGCTCATATTTTACATCTCCATAATACTCGTCAATCTCTGTAGAAACAACCAAACCACACACACACACACACACACACACACACACACACACACACACACACACACACACACACACTCCTGATGAGTCGGCAGAAGTCCGACGAAACACTCTAGCACAGCCATGCTTTTTTTGTGAAGTTGTGTACAGCGAACACGACAACACACGCACATAAGCATTTGTACTTTTTTTCATGGGTAGCCCCAACCATAATCAATAAGTCAGTCCACCTCCCTGCATCACTCAATATCACAATTCCACTGGACTTCAGAGCACACCCAAGAACGGCGGCAGAGAAGAGAGAGCGAGGGTCAAGCGGGGGGGGCGGGGGAAGTGGATGGGAGAGGTGAACCGGAAGAAGAAGAAAAAGGGAATTTTTTTTTTTTCTGTGCTGGCTTTGAGGGGCAGATTCCCTGCACTGTTAAAAAAAGGGACGAAAAAACAAAAAAAGAAAGAAAGTGGACCAAAGAGGGGCGGGGAGGAGAGTAAATGAACGAAGTAAAATTTCATTATTTTCATACCTGAGTTTGAACCCCTTGTCTACATCTTGCAGCACGGCTGCTCAAGTCTCATTGCATGCATACCTGAGATTGAACCCTCTTCATAACGTGAAGCACATAGCAGATACATAGTACAAAGTATATACTTTCAGTTCCATTACGTTCATACCCGAGCTTGAACCCTCTACATAGTGCAAAGTACATACTACACACATAGTATAAAGTGCATACTGCAGTTCAATTATATTTGTACCTGAGCTTGAACCCTCGAAAAGTGCATAGCACATGCATACAAGAATCTGAAGGGGTACATAGTACATAGTACAATAGTGAATACACGCCTACATACAGAGCACTTAATACATAGTACACATTCTATATACATAGTGCGAAGTACATAGTACCTATATACATGGTGCAAAGTACATAGTACATGCATACATAGTACAACAGTACATACATACCTGAGCTTGAACCCTACTCAAGAATCTGAAGGGGTACATAGTACAAGTACAATAGTGCATACACACCTGAAGGGGTACATAGTACAAGTACAATAGTGCATACACACCTAGATACAGAGCACTTAGTACATAGTACACATTCCTAGATACAGAGCACTTAGTACATAGTACACATTCTATATACACAGTGCAAAGTACGTGGTGCAACGTACATAGTCCAAAGTACATAGTGCAAAGTGCTGAATGGGTACAGAGTACATAGTACAATAGTGCATACACGCCTACATACAGCGCACTTAGTACATAGTACACGTTCTATATACATAGTGCAAAGTACATAGCACCTATATACATAGTGCAAAGTACATAGCACATGCATACATAGTGAAATACTGCCGGGGTACATAGTACATAGTACATAGTACATGCACATAGTACATAGTACAACAGTGCATGAACGCCTACATACAGAGCACTTAGTACGAATTCTATATACATAATGCGAAGTACATAGCACCTATATACATAGTCCAAAGTACATAGCATGCAGACATAGTGAAATAGTACATACATACCTGAGCTTGAACCCTCTTCAAGAATCTGAAGGGGTACACAGTACATAGCACAATAGTGCATACACGCCTACATGCCTACATTTAGTATACAGGACATAGTACAATACATAGTACACATTTAGTATACAGTACATGGTACAATACATAGTACACATTTAGTATACAGTACATAGTACAATATTGCATACACGCCTGCTCTGTACATAGTACAATACATAGTACACATTTAG